GTTTGAGTCCTGTTCCATGTCAGGACAGGGCCTTTTGGACGCAGAATGGATAGTTTCAAGCAAAGGTTAAACATTTGGAGTAGCAATCATTTAGCGTAACTGAGAGTCTGGGAGGAAAAAAAGGTAAGCTATGGTATATTAGGTCAATATAATTTGCCGGGAACAAAAGCAAAGTGTTGCCCAGGTACCAATTAATCAACAACTATTTATTGAGTAAGAATGCGTTGGCTGCCCCCCGCATGTACAAGACTGAAGTCCTGACCTGGATCATTTACAACGGAGTTGTAGAAAAACCAGTAATAGCTAATAGAAAAATAATTAGATGCTAAAATAAAAGGTAGTTACTGAGCAGACAGGAGTTGAAAAGGAAACATTTACAAGTGTTAATTTTTGTAAGACTCTTTTCCCTTTTTGCTCCCCTCTTGCGAATTTTGGTTTTCCCCACCTGTACAAATAAAAGTACTTTTCTCTTAATAGAGAGCATCACAGAGATTTTACCCATGGGCTACATATAGTTCATACACGTGTTTTGAGACATTACGTTTTTTGAAAAATTTGTCCCTGGGTTTATTGATTTTTCTGTTTCATTTTCCTTTATTCAATTCATAAATTATGAAGTGAAAATTAGTATTTAACTGAGAGGCTTAAGATGTTTAACTATGCTTTCCACAGAAACAGAAGCGTCTAAGTCCCTGGTGATTTTTCCGAGATTTATTTTAACCTCAATGTAGGGTCATTCATTTCACGGACTGACTTCACTGTTCAAACACACATGCTTGAGAAATTAGAATATTCCTTCACAATGACAAAAATAACAATAAGCTGTGAAAGTCTTGGGTTTCTTTGTAGTACAGTGTTCCAAGTGGGGTTTACAGTCGTCCTGCGAAATATCTGAATATGTTAAGGAGTGAGATTTCCTTTTAATTTTCAGTCACACTTTATGATCTTAAAAAGGTACTGAATCTCCACCTTTGAAAATGAGGAATATATACATATTCAGAAATAATTCATTTTTACTGTGTATTTGAAAATGGCTTGAGCTGGTCCTCACCAACCTGGATGGCATGAATGTGTTGGAATCATTTCATGGTTTGCTTTTCTCCTCTTTCCACCTCCGGATGGGCCAGGCTGGCTCTCACAGGATCAGACTTTATGCGAGGGAAGATTACAGAGGCCAGATGATAGAGATCACTGAGGACTGCTCCCTCTTCAGGACCGCTTCCACTTCAATGAGATTTACTCTCTCAATGTGCTGAAGGGCTCCTGGGTCCTCTATGAGTCGCCCAACTATGGGGGGAGGCAGTACCTGCTGAGGTCAGGGGACTACAGGCGCTAACATGACTGGGGGGCCTTGAATGCCAAGGTGGGCTCCTTGAGGAGGGTCATAGATTTCTATTGAAATAAGTTCATCATTTCTCAATCTGGAAACTAATAAAATATTTTCTGTTTTCCTGGCATTGGTTTACTTGTGTGTTTCCCTTTGTTCTACTTTGATTTTATTATTTTATTTACACATTCACACACACACAAGATGCAAGTGGAAATCAGGGTATATAATCTACGGGTAACAAAGAAAATTCTTACAGTAGAAATATGCCTCATATTAAGCTGAACTTACAGTTTGCAAAACATTTTTCATAGCACACTGTCTTCTTTGATTCTCTGGCCTTTAAATACATTGCTGCTTCAAACCAGATTGTTAGAAATCTGTCCAGACTTCAGTTTTTCTTTGAGAAGTGAGGATCTGAAAGCTGAGGTTCAGAGATACTGTGACCCACTTTTTAGATCAGGGATTCTGAAGCTGGGTACCACAGTGGGCTTCAGAAGATTTTTGAATTCCCTAAACTGTATGCAAAAGTTGAGTTCACAAATCTCCGGAAGACTCTCTCAATGCTGAGGTGGTCACATGACACCCTCTGGACACTGAAACCTAAGTGGAGGAATACTGATGGGGAGAGAGAGGAGATGGTTCTGGAAAAAAAAAATTGCCTTCCTGATGAAAGGGAGTAGCTGCCTGTGGTGCCACAATTCCCTCTTATTTCAGACATTTTACACACCAAGGTGACAAAGATGAGGAAAATGCTACAGTTTCAGAAATGCTGGCCTTGATGTGGTCAGGCCCCTTAACCAAAGTCTATTAGAGCTTTCCAGAGAAACAAAGCCGATAGGATCTACAGAGACCTACATGAGATTTATTACAGGAATTGGCTTGTGTGAAAATGGAGGCTGAGAAGTCCTGTGATCTCCAAGCTGGAGAAACAGGAAAGCTAGTGGAATCATTCAGTCTGAGTCCAGAGGCCTGCAAACTGGGAGGGCTGATGTCTGAGGGCAGAAGATGACAGATTTTGCAGCTCCAGCAGGAGGAGGGAGTTTGTCCTTCCTCCACCTTCTTGTTCTATTCAGGCCCTCAGCAGACTGGCTGAGACATTGGTAAGGGTGATCTTCTGTACTCAGTCTACTGACTCAAATCCTAATCTCTCCTGGAACTATCACACTCAGAAATAATGTTTTACCAGCTATCTGGGCCTCCCTTAGCCCAGTCAAGTTGGCACATAAAATTAACCATCACATAATGCCAGCAACCCTTTACCTTGAGATTCCTTTTGTTTATCCCACTCTCTTTGGATGTTCTGTTATTTGTAGTTCAAGACACATTTCTAGCCAATACAGAGTATATGTGATTTTTTTCTGAGGTGGTTGTTTAGAACTTTATTCAGAGTCTCAAATAAATTCCTCCCCCCAAAAAATGAAGAAGAAGAAAGAGAGTGGGGGTGGGAAGGAGGGAGGCGACCACTATAGAACAATGAAGTCATATGATGTTTAACACATTTTAGACCTGGAGATCATCTAACTTAGTTTACTCATTTTATGTAAGGTAAACTAAGGTCCAATTCTAATGCTGAACAGTTAATAATAGAAGTGGCATCATAATCTAAAATTCACAGCTCAGAGGTTAGTTAAGTTTCCATTGTGGTATCAGGAAGATTCTTGTCAAACTAATGACAAGTACCAGCTTACAGATTCTTACCATGAGGTCATTGTAAACAACCAACCAGGAATCGAATTAAGTATATAGGATACACTAAAGCTGCATTTTCTGTCTAATATATATGCACACACCATACATGCACAGTTATATATATTTATATAAGCATATACACAGACTCTCCATATGTGTGTGTGTTAGTAAGATTACCTGTATAAGGTTACAGGGACGTGTAACACTATATTCACTTACACTGGTTCTTCTCCTGCTGCTTGTTGTCTTACTTGCACTCTAATGGCTAGAATTTTAGGAAGGAGGAGTGGTGACTATATTTGTGCTCAAAGACTGATCTGATCAAGTCATTTCCCTGGTCAACAACCTTTGATATTGCTCCACAGCCTGCAGAAGGAAATTCTATCTTTTTCAAGGAAATGGCCCCAGCCTATCTACTTCCTTTCCTATTACCTGACCCAGTCGTCCTTTACTCCATCTCATCCAAGTCATCCAAGCACACTAAGCATTTTCATATCTCTTTGGTTTGCTCACATCTTTTCCACACCTGAATTACTCTTCCCCAACCTTCTCCCCAGTGAGCGATTCATCCTCCAAAGCCTGATCAGCATTCACTCTAATTCCTTGGCCAAAAATGGATCTAAATCACTGAGGAGATACATTAGACTGAAAGGAGCAGAAACACCATACCAAATGGATAGGAACATGGAAATTTATTAGCTCACAGGATAGAAAGTCCTAGGATAGCACAGGATTTAGGGATGGTTGGTTCAGCAACTCAATAATATCATCAGAGCCTCAGGTTTTGTCCATCTCCCACCATATTTAGCATCTGCATCACCCTGAAGCTGGTGTTCCTGGTAACCACAGATGCGAGCTGCAGGTGGGGCAACATACACAGAAGGTTGGGTGAAGGAAAGCACCCAACAAGCTTTGTCTACAGCACAACTGTGCCCAGAGCACTAATCCCCAGGTTAAAGAGGACCTTGAAATATTATTAAATACTTGAATGTAAGCTTTGGTGATATAAGGTAGTCAAAATGGATGAACAGTGGGGGAAAGCCCAAGGAGGGAAAGGTACTAATTTTTAAAAAATTAAGACATTAAATATATTAGTTATTCTCTTATTAAAAAGTAAGAGGACTACAAGTAAGTTAAAATAAACTCTCTTTTAAGTGCCTTTTAATTCCTATTCAATCATTAGGAATTATCTTACTTTAATGTGTTCTTACAACCGCAGTAGAATTATTGAAATTAAGAAATGAATATTGATAAAATTAATATCAATTCTTTTTTTCTTGTTGCTCACGGAAGATGTTTTAAATTGTAGCAAAATATACATAACACAAATTGACTATTATAACCATTTTTAAGTAGATAACTTAGTGGCATAAAGTACATTCACATCTTTGTGCAGCCATCAGCACTAGAACATCTTCAGAACTTTTCATCATCAAAACTGAAACTATGTACTCATTAAACAATAATTTCCCATTTTTACCTTTGCCCAACCCCTGGTAACCACCGTTCTACTTTCTTTACGAATCTGACTATTTCAGGTATCTCAAATAAATTGAATCATACTATTTGTCCTGTCTGTCTCATTTCACTTAGCATAATGTCTTCAAGGTTTGCTTATGTTGTGGCATTTATCAAATTTTCATTCCTTTTTAAGGCTGAATAATATTCCATTCTGTGCATATACCACATTTTGTTTGTCCATCCATCCCTAAATGGGCATTTGAGTTATTTCTTCCTTTGGGCTATCATAAATAATGCTGCTATGATTATTGGGGTACAAATATCTGTTCGAGTCTGTGCTTTCAACTTTTCGGGGGTATATGCCTAGAACTGGAATTGCTGGATTATATGATAATTAGATGTTTAATATATGAGGAACTACCATACAGTCTTCCACAGTGGCCACACCATTTTATATTCTCACTGGCAAATCACAAGATTTCCAATTTCTCCACATCCACATTAACACTTGTTTTCTGTTTTGTTTTGTTTTTTTTTATGACAGCCATCCTAATGGGTGTGAAGTAGTATCTCACTGTAGTTTTGGTTACATATCCCTAATGATTAGTGATATTGAATGACTTTTTATGTGCCTATTGGTCATTTGTATATCTTCTTTGGAGAAGCATCTATTCAAGTCTCTTTTTAAAAATTTTTGTTTTGATTTGTTGTTATTGCTGAGTTGTAGTTCTTTGGATATCAATCCTTTGTCATATATATAATTTATCCAATAATTTCTCACATTCCATTGGTGGCCTTTTCACTCTGTTGATAGTCTCTTCTGATGCACAAAAGTTTTTATCTTGATGAACTCCAGTTGATCTATTGCCTTTGATTTGGTGTTATATCCAAGAAATAATTGCCAAATTTAATCTCTTGAGGCTTTTCCTCTATGCTTTCTTCTAAAAATTTTATAGTTTTAGTTCTTATATTTAAGTCTTTAATATATTTTGAGTTAGTTTTTGTATGTGGTATAAGGTAAGGGTCGAACTTCATTCTTTTGCATGTGGATATCCAGTTTTCCCAGTACTATTGTTGAAAAAACTGTCTTTTCTCCATTGGATGGTCTCAGCAACCTTGTCAAAATTATTTGACCACATATGTAAGGGTTTGTTTCTGTGGTCTCTGTTCTCTTCCATTGGTCTATATGTCTATCTTTATGCCAGGGCCACACTGTTTTGATTATTGTAACTTTTGCAGTAAGTCTAGAAATCAGGAAGTGTGAGTTCTCCTTCTTTGTTCTTCTTTTTCAAGGGTTTGTTTTTTTTTTTTGTATCATGGGATCTTTGAGATTGTATATAAATTTTAGGATGGAGTTTTTTCTATTACTGCATAAAACATCATTAGAATTTTATAGGTATTATGTTAATCTGTAGATAACTTTAGAAGTATTCATATCTGAACAATATTAAGTCTTCTAATTCATGAACACAAGGTGTCTTTCTATTTATTTAGATCTTCTTTTCTTCAGCAATGTTTTACAGCTCTCAGTGTATAATACACTTTCTTAAAAAATATAACATATGCTGAGCATTTTCCATATCCTTACATAAATCCTTTGAGGATATGATTTTTGGTAGCTGCATAGCATCTCATCAAACAGATGTTCTATAACTAACCTAATTAATATCCTATTTTGGACTTTTCATTTGTTTTAACTTTTTATATTATAAACAGTGATAAAATGCCACTGTGCATAATGTTTGCATGTATCTTCTGCTATTTTCTTTGGACAAATTTTTAGAGTTGAAACTGTTAGATCAAAGAAGTGAAATTTAAGAGGGTTTTTTTGGGGGGGTGAGGGGTCTTTTTTTAAAACACATGTAACATGAACTTTGCCATTTTAACTCTTTTTAAACCACATAGCACAGAAGTGTTAACTCTATGGATACTGTGCAACAGATCTCTAGAAGTTTTTCTTCATCTTGCAGAACTGAAATGAGGTTTTCAAATATACATCAACAGTGCTTTTTAAAATATGGTACTATGGTTTTAATTTTTTCCTCCTTTCTACTTCTCTATAGTTTCCAAATTTCCTATAAAGTTAGAATTTTTACAAGAAAGAATGTGAATAAGGCATATTAAACTTACATGTTTCAGATAAAATTACTAAGGGCAGATTTTTTTTAGCATTACCTTTAGGTAGCAAGAATCCAAACTAAGGAATGAGACAGGGTGTGTCATAGTCGTACCTAGTGGAGGACTAGCTCCTTCTAAAGCAGTGGTTTTCAGCCAGGGTTGATTTTTTAAATTTTGTTATAGTTGCATGTTAACTTGAATTTCTCAGCAGCTAGAACTAACTAAACTTAGCACCCAACTTGCAAAATTATTGGTTAAATAAAAAGTTACGGTGTGGATAATAACCACCAGAGAGCCACCTCATGAACTCCAAAGGTGAGGGTTTCCTGGCCTGTGGGGTGGGAGGCACCGGGCTGAGTCTGGAGGTGTCCCTGGTCCGCCAGATCTCCAGGGAGCAGAGCAGAGCCAGAAGCCTAAACAGGGCTTTCTGGGGGTCCAACTCCATCCCCTCCTTTCCTCAGGTGTAGTATCTGCTGCACCCGCTCATCCGCGGGGAGGATCTCAGAGGTTCTCTTAGAGGAAACCCCAATTCTCCTCTAAACGTCCTGCAGAGAAGGCAGGTGCGTCCCCACGCCCCTCAGCCTCACACCAGGGAAATGCTCTCCGATCTAAACGCCTCCTGCTGTAGCCCACCCTGACCTCAGACTCGGTCACTATCCGCTGTTGTTACCTAAAAGAGATCATTTTGAAATTTTAAAAAGTTAATATTG